CACGTGGCCTGTGTAAAAGACCTTTTTCAAAAAGTGGGGGGGGGTGTTCCTTATGCCTAGCAGTGTTCCTCGAAGCAACTGCAGACTATCCACAGACAGCGATGCGCACAGACCCGCTGAATCACTGGGGATGGTGCCTGGGAGTTGGCCCCTCCCGAGCCCTTCAGGTGATTCTCGAAGCTTGCCAAGGTGTGAACCCTCCTCACCACAGGCTACACTAGAGCCCGGTTATGAGAGCAGGGCCTGTCTGTCCTGAGTGGGGATCCGCCTCCTTCCCACCCAGACACATCCCACCCTCCCAGGAGCCTGCTACGCCTTCTCTCTTCACTGCAGACACCCGGCCCACCCCCAGGGCCAGGGTGCAGGGAGCTTCCAGAGGACCTCAGGGGAGTGGCCGATGGCCTGGGGGCAAACTCAGCCATCCCCTCCAATCCCAATAGTCAGGAGTGGGAATGCCCCGTGGTTGAGCTCATGTTTCCTTCTGAGCTCGGGCGCAAAAAGATACTGCCAATGCAGAAGGCCTCTAAGGGCCAATGGCAGGAGACCTTTATTTAGCCACACCCCTCTCCCCTCACTTCCTGGAGCTTGCTAGGATGAGAACAACCCTGCTCGTGGGGCCTGGACCACGTTTTTCTAAAACCGGGTCCAGTTTTTTTCTGGCTCTCCACTCGGAGCTCTTCCCTTCTGAACCCTCTACAGTGCCCAGACAGCTTCCTTCCCTTCTGCTCCTTTCCACCTCTGTAGAACGAGGACCACCCTAGCCCCCACTGCATGGGTTATCATGAGGGATGGGAAACTAACGCGTGTGAGCGGGCATGGCACATAGTAGGTGCTCAGCAAACCGTGTCCCTCTTTGTAGCCTTCCAGGTAGGTGCTTTGGGAGGCTCGAGCAGTACAGTCTGTGGTGCCTTGGTACACTCACAATTCACCTTGGGAAATACGCTCCTAAGGAGCTGCCACAGAAGGAGGCCCTGGGTGTGTGCGATGTCGTAGGCGGTGGGAAGGGAGGTCCTGAGCCGGGCACGGGCTGCTCGTGAATGGTGGAGGTAAGAGTCTGCCTCTTTAACCTTGGACACCCATCATCAGCGCTATATTTCCTCTATAAAAGGCGATGATCACGCCTGCCCTGCCCACCACCTGGAATGGTGTGAGGCTCGGAGCGAATAATGAACACAGAGGAGTCGTCCAAACTTAAGGGAGAAAGGGAGTATCAGAAGAGGGACTTTGGCACTGCTGAGAGTAGGGAGGGCCCTGTGGGAGGAAGAGAGGGGAGAAGGTGCCTCCTATGACCTGGGAGGGCTCTCAGGGTCGCAGACTTGGCCTGCACTGGCATTCAGAGAGGGAGGTCAGAACGGGCCAGGGAGAGCAGCGCTAGCCAGGCTCACCGCAACAGACTCAGCAGCGCGTGAGTAAGAATTGGCGGAGGCGCCTGCGTTCTGGATAGCCCCCTCCTGCGCTGTGTAAGCACCCACAAAATGCCAGTCCATGGGGGTGCAGCTCAGTGCTAGGATGAGGGCCAGCTCCTGTGCACACCAAAAATGCAGACGGTTGAGAGAGGGAGGACAGCAGTGATGTAACGAGCTCTGGCTACCCCCGTGGGGACCCCACGCCAGCCCAGGTGGCTCGGTCCTGCGGAGAGCCAGGTGCTGAGTGCGCAAGCCGGTCAGCTCCCCGCTCCGCCCCACCTCTCTTGTTCCCAGGGCCTATAGAAGGACAAGCTGTCCCCAGTGAGCCCTGCCAGGGCTGTGCTTTAACCCCTACAATCCTTCCTAATCCTCCTCTGCTCCACCCCTCCAGCTGCTCGCTGCCCAGCCCTGGCACTTTGCCCCCTGGCCTTAGCTCTGCCCTCGCCCCACCCTGCAGAAGCCACCCTCTCTTCTTCCCAAGAGGAGCCAGCCTGGCCCAGGGCCCTCCAGCGTACAGTCCACATGCCGGGCACTCGTTCCTCGATGCAGAGCCAGAGACAAGCTTGAGCGTGGCCTGGCCGGCTGTCCCCACGCAGTCCCATCCACACCTGGCCCTCTGCTCCAGGACCTGTTTCTAGGAGGAGAGAGCCTGGGAACCTGAGTCCTCGGGTCTCAGGTCCTGGGAAGGGCTGCTGACTCATTTTCCGAAGCCTTGGGTTCCAGCTGTTCGGTGACAGGGAGATTATGTAAGCTGAGACCATGTGACTTTCCTCTCAGGTGGGACCTTGGACTTGCGTGCCGTCCTGCTGCTAGTGGAGGTGGCTCCTCAGGGAACAGGCTGAGGATGTCAGGGGCTGCCCGGGTGAAAAGTGTGACCGTCCTCCTTGTCCCTTGCCTTCTCGCTCTGCTCCGTCAGCTCAGAGCTGCATCCCTGGGGCCTGTCCTTCCCCACTCCCACCCTGAGAAGCTCAAACTGCCTGAGGGCTTGAGTCTGTGTTGATGTTGACAGCATGAGAAGGCCACTCAAAGGTGACCTTAGCCAGAGGGCTCCATGGCCAGGACCCATCCTGGCTGCTGAGAAGGAAAGGGCCACGGCTTGTGGTTTGTGATTAGGATAAGCAAGGTCTCCACCCTGACAACCGGTCGTGGGCTGCGACCTGCCCTCCCCAGGCCCAGTTTCTCAATCAGTGCCTTGTCCTCCACCCCCACTACAGAATGTCTTCCTGAGCCACCGTAGTGCTGGGCGGGGCCCAGGAATGCAGGAGTTAATTCAAGCTAGCAGAATGTTCCCTGCCCCTGGGGGAGCCGCTCCACTGACCACCGGCTCAGAAATGAACATGACGTTCAGAGCCCGGAGCAGCACACGTGGCCCCTTGGGCCCTCTTACCTCAATGGAGATGGAAAACTGGCACCCCGGACAGAGGCATGAGCAAGAGGGAAGCGTGTGGGCCTCTGGAATCTGGCTGGTTTGGGCCAGACTGCCTAGGGCTCAGAGTTCAGAGCTGTGGGCCTCTTAGGATTCAAGTCATGCCGGGAAGCTGTGCTTCCTACAGCTGTGGGGAGGACACACAGGTCCTTTTGGGGCCCCCTCCCAAAGGCCCCCTGGGAGCTGAGAGCCCCAACCCCTTTTCCTTGCCAGCCAGACCGCCACACCTGCTCACGTGCGTGATGACAGCAGGCACGTGCTGGGACATTTGCTGAGCCCCGTCAGTCACCAAACCCCAGGCTGAGCTGCACGCTCAGATCTGAGAGGCAGGAGACTCAGTCCCTGTCCTCACACAGCCAACCCTGGCCTTAATTTATTTACACTCCTCCTCGTGCCAGAGGAATCTGAGGTGAAGAAAACGACTTATCCCCTGGGGAAGGCAAGCCAAGTCTGGGCTCTGAGAAATGGCCATCGCGGCTGCAGGAAGGAGCCCGCCCCAGACCAGCTCAGCGCAGTTGAGGCAGGGAGTCACAGGGCCAGAGCCAGGTTCCAATCCCAGAAGACCACACCCTTTGGATCCATCCCCACTTCAAGAAAGGAAACCATGGGACCAGCAGTTAATGTAATGGCTATGTCACTGGACTCCCACGTAGTCGACCACGGTTCGCGTCCCGGACCCTATGGCTTAAACTCACCCCGGGCGCATGTGCATGTGTGCCCAAGATCCCGAGAGGAGAATGGAGGAGAAGGGATTGCGGCATGACCTGGGGGGTGATTTCTTGCTTTCTGTCTCTCTGTTTCTCTCTGTCTGGCGGGCACACATGCCCTATAGAAAAACCTAAATAAATAAATAAATAAATAAATAAATAAATAAATAAATAAATAAATAAAAAGAAAGGAAACCAGAGAGAAAGGGTGTCACGAGGACTAGGCTAGTGAGAAATGGGCCACCATTCTTTGGTGGCTGTGTCCTGCCACAGCCAGACCTACTTGACCAGACTGGACTTTGTGTGCATTCTTTTTTTTTTTTTAAATTTACAGGGCATATGTGCTCACTGGAGAAAGACAGAGTTAAAGTGAGAAAGCACCCTCCCCACCTCCCCGACCTCCCAGGAGGATGACCACACCACAACCCCTTCTCCTGTCTCCTCTCGAGATTCGGAGCATGATTTTGAGCATGCACACACTTGGAATACTTTTTGAAGCCACCAGCTCTGGGAACTCAAACCACGCAGTCGGCCCTGTGGGATCCAGCTGCCTTAACCTCCACACCACCTGGCTGGTTCCTGTGTAAATTCATTCCCGTCACTTCAGACTTCTCAGAGTATTCCCAACCTAGTGCTTTCCCCATCTGGCCCTTCCTGCTCCCAGCAACCACCCCCCACCTCCATGTCCCATGAAGGAGGGAGTGTACCCTGGCAGAGTGCCAAAATGTCTTGGAGTGAGAGTGCTCACCTCACTGGGTCTAGGTCCTGGGGACTCCTCTTGGGCCACACCCCCTGGCCCCAGCACACTTGTTCACCACGTGGAAGCAGATTCCCACCCCACCCTTGACAGCGCCAGAACTCTCAGCAGAACCTAGTCTGGCCCTCCTTAGAGACGGGATCAGCACGATAAATACCTGCGAAAAGACCCTGCCCTTGAAGTTTCAGTGCACAGGCCCACGAAGGCCAGGGACAGGCAATCGAAGACCATGTATGAAAGTCTTAGAGACATTGATAAGACAAAGATAAACCTATTATGGTAAATTAAAACCATGCAAAATGAATGCTAATAGACTGAGGAGGTGCAGTAATGGGGCGTTTAAAGCTGGGAGGAGTTAATTAGGAAAGGCTTTGTAGACCAGTTTTTAGCAGAATTTGCAAGTAGGTAACTTAGCAGCAGGAAGAACACCCCAGACTGTCCTAGTATTCATAGTGGCTAGAAGCATGGGGTTTGCTATAGAACGGGTCTGGGTGCAGTCTTGCTGTGTCAGGTATTGGGTTTGTGGTCCTAGCAAGCCACTTTCTTTCTCAGGACTTAAGGCCCTTCTCCCCCCTACCCCCAGCAGCTTTGCCATAAGGCACATGCACTCGCCAGAGAGAGACAGACAGAGGGAAAATGAGAAATCACCCCCAAAGGGGGATGGCCACACTGCAATCCCTTCTCCTCCATTCTTCTCTGAGGATTTTGGGCACACGTGCCCAACGTGTTTCTCATGCTCCTGGGGCCAGGACTCAAACCACACAGTCGGCTCTGTGGGATCGAGCCACTGGCTCACCTCTTAAGGCCCTTTATCTAGAAAATAGAGATAATAGTCCATCATGGTGTTATGGAAATTAACTAGGATAACAAGTACAGGCCCTCCACCCAGAGCATGGCTTCAGTATGTACATAATCAGTGGCAGTTTTGCTCTTTAAGCAGAAAAAAGCAGACCGGTTAGTACCAGGGATCAGGGGGGAGTAAGGCAGTGACCACGGAAGGAGCCTATGGACAGACAGCCTTCCAGACCGGCTGCTTGAGGCCCAGACCTGAGTGAGAGTCAAGCACTCTCTTTCAGAGCAGAAGAGTGCTGTGATCAAATGCAAGCTTTGCCGCAGACACTGTGGGGTTGGCTCAAAAGGCGTAGCTGAAAAAGGAAGCTTGGAGAAAAGGGCGGTCTCAATTTGCTCAGAGTCCTGGCTCGGTCAGAGTCTGGGGGTGGACAGTGACTGTGGAGAACACCTGACAGGCTGGCCCTTACTGCCCACCAAACAGAATGCCCTGCAGCCTCTGTCCCTGCCCTGGGCACAGTTCCAGGCCCCATCCAGCACTGCTGGGACTTAGGGTGTGACCGCCGAGCAGCCGGACACTGCTGTGGTGCGGGTGGCCTAGGATACAGTCCCGCGTGCGGCTGCGGTCGTGTGCGCGGTGCGCGTGTGCTTGTGGGGACGCACACCAGCAGGAACAGAAGGAGCCCACAGATGAGTAACAGCACACACTGCTGCCTCGCAGAATATTTTTAAATGCTAAAAATACTGGCTAAAAATAGCCGGCAAGCTCCAAACAAGATACTTTCGCTAGGCAGATTCCTGCTTCCCTGTGAGGTGGAGGGGCAGAGCATCCAAAATTAAACCCGGAGCCCCCCAAGTCAAGTACGGAGGACCTCAGGGTGCAGGGTACAGCCCTCTCTCGCTCCCCATCTCAGCCCTCTCCCATCTCCCCATTGTGTCACTTTCAATCCGCCTCCCGAGAAAAAGTCAAATTTTACGATTCTGTGAGAGATGGAGCTGGGTAACTGGTGAGAAAAAGCCAGAAACGGTTCTTTCCTGGAGCCAAAAGGGACAGTGACCTATTGTACTTTATAAAATGTGAGCACTGCCTCTTTTGATAACGGGCCAAGCTAGCACGGGAAGGAGGAGGGGCGCTCAGTCTAGAGGCCGCGGAGGTGTGTCATCTTAACCCGAGCCCATCGTCCCTATGGTCTGTGGGGTGCTAGGCTTCCCGGGAGCCAGTACCGCCCCCCCATGCTGGAGAAAAGTTTGTGCATATGCGCACCGTGCCCGACCGGAAGAGAGGACAGCGCTCTCATGTTCTCAGAACGATCCGCAGCCCGGGAGAGTTAGGAATCGTACGCCGCCTTGGGGGCTCACCAGTTAACACTCGGTCTTGGGAGCTGTCCTCTGCGGACCCCAAAGATCATTTCCCTTGAGTCCCATACCCGAAGCCGGCCTGGAGGTCCGCGCTTCTGTGCTGCGTCCCCGAGGAGCCGCCGCTCTTTGTCCGGATCCGGGTCAGAGGGCTGG